CACTTGGTTAGTTACTATATAGAATAGATTTATTGATGTCTCTGGGATTTCCATCCCTAGTTCTCTCATACTAATGGGGAGGGAGGAGGGATGATAATGCAACTTTTCCTTATAGCTGCAAGTGGGGCTATTAATAAATAATGCATTTTAGAGGTTTCTTTGACACTTATATAACAAACTTATATGAAAAATTCATGTATGTGGCTTAAATCTAGGAATTTTATTTATCATTCATTACAGAAATTGATAGCTATGGCAAATTGTTAAAATGTGTAGGCTAATCAGTCATTTGTAATGTAAAGTTTCAATAATATATGCCAAAGAAGATATACAAATGTATAAAATTGAGATGATTTTTCTTGAAAGGCTGTAAAATCATTACAGGACCTTGGAGCACTCATTGGCTTCAATTCCTTATGTCCATATTTAACTATTGCTCCCATATATAGTGTAGCTGTCTAATAAATGATGACAATGCATGTTTGGAAGTTCTATGATACTAAAGCTAGGATTCAAAGGGATTTCTGTAAAGCAAAGTTCATTGACCCTCTTAGTCAAAAAAAAAAAAAATTGTCCACAAGTCTCAGAAAGGCAGCAATCTAAAGGTAGGAGATAAATGGGGCATAAACAGTGACAGAAGGGGACTTAACTTTGGGTGGTGAACACACAATATAATATACAGGTAATGTATTACAGAATTGTATACTTGCAACCTATATAATTTTAGACACCAGTGTCCCCCCAATAAATTAAATAAAAATAAAAGAGAAATAAAGGCAAAAGGTGAAAGACATGAGACCAGAGATAAGAGACAAGAGAATCTTGGTTCTGTGATTATTCACTGTGGGACCTAATTCTCTGAGCCTCAGTTTTCTTGCTTATAAAACCAAAAGACTAGAGGGGCTGTAAGGTCTTTTCCCATTCTGTGTTTCTGTGATTCCAAGTACACAAGACTTTCTACTCCATAAGTGTTGCTTTCTTGTTTTGTTAGGTTATCTAACACATAATGTAGCTGGGTTACAGTATCTCATACTAGGATTGGAGGACGTATTTTAGCCTGATTCTATATGAATTGTGAGTCATAACACAGTTTATAAATTTTTACATTTATCTATGTCATGTAGAACTGGAGGTTTTTATAAGTGAGAAACACCCTTTTTTCTGAATACTACAGTGTGTACATTTATTTGGAATAATTTATAATTTTTAATAAAGTTTTAACAAAAAGTATCATAAATGTATAATTCAAAAGGATATTCTCCACAATAGTTCACCACCAACATAAATAGGTCTGTGAGTGTGTGTGTGTGTGTGTGTGTGTGTAGAGCTGGGGATACTTTAAGAATTTCATAAATGACATAACAATCATTAGCAAATACTACATAGATCATAGTAACTGTGATATTATTAGAATTCACACATTTCAATTATGACATGACAACAATGTATCTGACCATTTAGTGATTCTCATTCCAGTGTGCTATTCAACATTCTCTCTTTAGAATTTTTAATGCCTTTAACTAAACTTTGGTCTTTTATTTTCCAACATATTTTCCTGTATAACTTTTATAATATTTCATTTAATAATAATACAATTTATTTCACATTTTCCTAATTGTCCTTTATATTTAAAGAACTGTTTACTGAATTTCTCATATTTATCAGACAAGAAAAACAGCCTTTTCAAAGATTTCATCAACATTTTATTTTGCATTTCCAAAGCTCTATTTTGAGAAATACTTACTGACTCATAGCAGCTCCATGGGAAACTATAAAAGTAATACAGTCCTTGCTTAGAATTCTCTCAGGCAATTACTATAAATA